TAAAACTTAATTTTTGTATGAAAATATTGAGTAATTTTACGAAATAATTAAAAAATAACCAGTATTATAAGAAACTAAACTTCATTTTTATGTTATCAAATTTTTTCAGGTAAGGAAGAAAACTATAATCAAATTAGAATTTAAAAAATATTTTATGTCGTCTTTGTTTTCAAATTTTCTTAAAATCATGATTTTCTTGTTATCACAATGCTGTTTTCTGGAGATCTAAGAGTCTCAAGATTCATAACTTTTCCTTTTCAAGATTTTAATAATTTACTATAATAAATCTTTCCAAGATCTTGATTTTTCTTTTCAAGACTTAATTTTTGTATGAAAACTAAAAAAATGTTTTTTAGTTTTTTATTTTTATGTTTTCAGATTTTTTCAGGTCAGTAAACTACGAAATCAAATTAGAATTGAAAAAATTGCTTCGTTATCTTAATCTTTGTTTTCAAGACTCAAGAAACTTAACGTAAAAACTTTTACTAATTTTTTTTTAATTATTATTTTTCTGAAACCACAGTCTGAAGTCTGAAGTTCCCAACCAATTCCTTCAAGATCTATAACTTTTTTCCTTTTTAAAATTTCAATAATTTATCATAAAAAAATCGTTTCAAGATCTTGATTTTTCTTTTCAAAACTTATTTTTTTATGAAAATATTAAATAATTTTACGAAATACCCAATACTATAAACAAATTGAAAAAAATTTCAATTTTTCATTCTTGTTTCCAAATTTTTCCAGGTTAGACTATGAAGTCAAATTAGTATTTAAAAAATTGTTTCGTGTCATCTTTGTTTTAAATTTTTTCCTAAAATAATGATTTTGTTGTTATCGCAAGTTATTTTTTGAAGATCTAAGAGTTTCAAGATTCATAACTATTACTTTTCAAGATTACAATAATTTACTATAAAAAATCTTTCCAAGATCTTGATTTTTCTTTTCAAGACTTAATTTTTGTATAAAAAATAAGTTTTCAGATTTTTTCAGGTCAGAAACCACAGTCCTATTTTCTGAAATTCCCAACAAATTCCTTTAAGACCTATAACTTTTTTCTCTTTTCAAGATTTCAATAATTTACCATAAAAAAAAAACGTTTCAAGATCTTTCAATTTCAATTTTTCATTCTTGTTTCCAAATTTTTCCAGGTTAGACTTTGAAGTCAAATTAGTATTCAAAAAATTGTTTTGTGTCATCTTTGTTTTAAATTTTTTGTTAAAATAATGATTTTCTTGTAATCACAAGTTATTTTCTGAAGATCTAAGAGTGTCAAGATTTATAACTTTTCCCTTTTCAAGATTTCAATAATGATTTACTACCTATAAAAAATCTTTCGAAAATCTTAATTTTTTAAGACTTAATTTTCGTATGAGTAATTTTACAAAATAATTAAAAAATAGCCAATACTATAAGTATACTGAAAAAACATTTTTATGTTTTCAGATTTTTTCAGGTCAGATCTTAATCTTTGTTTTCAAGACTCAATAAGCTTAACATAAAAACCTTTAGTGATTTTTTTTTAATTATTATTTTCCTGAAACCACAGTTTTATTTTCTGAATTTCCTAACAAATTCCTTCAACATCTATAACTTTTTTTCCTTTTCAAGATTTCAATAATTTGCTATACAAAATCGTTTCGAGATCTTGATTCTTGTATTTAAGACTTAACATTTGTATGGAAATATTAAGTAATTTTACAAGATAATTAAAAAATAGCTAGGACTATAAGTAAACTAAAAAAATCAAGTTTTTCATTCTTGCGTTTTAATTTTTCTAGATCACAAAACTACGAAATTAAATTAAAATTTAAAAAATTGTTACGTTATTTTAATTTTTGTTTTTTTTTAAATCATTATTTTCCTGAATCCACAGTCCTCTTTTTTGAAGTTCCCAACAAATTCCTTCAAGATCTATGCTTTCTTTCCCTTTTCAAGATTTCAGTAATTTACTACAAAAAATCATTTTAAGATCTCAATTCCTTCTTTTAAGACTTATTTTTTGTATAAAAATGTGGAGTAATTTTACGAAATAATAAAAAAAATAGCCAGTACTATAAGAAAACTGAAAAAAATCCAATTTTTCAGTCTTATGTTTCCAAATTTTTTCATGTCAGAAAACTATGAAATCAAATTATAATTTCAAAAATTGTTTCGTGTCGTGTTTGTTTTCAAGATCGTGTTTGTTTTCAGTCTCAAGATACATAACTTTTCCATTTTCAAGATTTCAATAATTTACTATAAAAAATCGTTCCAAGATCTTAATTCGTCTTTTCAAGACTTAATTTGTGTATGAAAATATTGAGTAATTTTACAAAATAATTAAAAAATAGCCAGTTCTCTAAGTAAACTAAAAAAAATTCTAGATTTTCATTCTTATGTTTACAGATTTTGTCAGGTCAGAAAACTGAAATCAAATTAGAATTGCAAAAATTGTTTCGTGATTTTAAATCATAATTTTATTCCCTTTTGAAGATTTGAAAATAATTGTTGAAAATTCTTATATATTGCCCCCATGCGCCGCCCCTGCGCTCGCCGACATACCTGCGGCCCGGACCTAGCCGAAGTTGTGTGGGAACGCGCCGAGTGCACCATCTCACATCCCCACTCCTCCTAAGCTCAGAGCTACTGAGACGTGCGCCGAAAGCTCAGCATCAACGCACACCGCGATCGAACACGTCCCAAATCGGTCGATACCCAATTGTGTGTGATTTGTTTCCCAAGATGGTCACGGGAACTACCAACACTCCAGTGGTGCAACCCAACGCCGTACCATCGACCAACAACCAGATGGAAATGGCAGCGGTCACCAAACGCGTCAGTGATAATCGAAGGGTGAGCGATGGGTGTGTGGTGTGTGTGTGGTGGTGATAAACGCCCTTTTTGTTACAGAGTAATAAACCCATCATGGAAAAACGGAGGCGGGCGAGGATCAATAACAGTTTGAATGAGTTGAAGACACTTATTTTGGATGCGATGAAAAAAGACGTAAGTTGTAATTTGAGATAATTAACAGACACGAGCTTCTAACTACCAAAAAATGAAAAAGAAAAAAGATCAGACTCGAGTTATGGCTCAATTAAGGGCCAAGCCGTCATTACCACAAGGCCCTCCCCCCTAATTCATTTTAATTACGACACTGCACAGCCGGCTTAATCACTCTATTTTCATGGTTGTAGGAAAAATTTGGATGGACCACAAGTTTGTTTAAATTTTGGCAAAATAATAAAATCGTGGGCTAGATTAAAGAAACTCATTTTTTCAAGTTTTTGTTCGAAGGTTTTAGTTTTTTTTTATTACATTTTTAGTGTTGCTGAAATCTTGAAAAACTAAGCCAAGGATTTTATATAATTCAAGATCTGAATTCTTAAAATTTCCGGGTTGTTCTTTTTTTCATTTGTGTAACCTTATTTTTCCAGTTTTTTTTCGCTACAAAATTTTGAAGACTAAATTTTGTTTCAAAAATTTAATGTTTGTCATTAAGGTTTAAGAAGATTTTTAAATTGTCGAGTAACATTTTTTGCTTCAAACTTTTTCTCATAATCTTATTTTTTCAAGCTTTCAACAATTCAGTTGAAAACTAAAGTGTAAAATTTTTTTAGTTCAAGGAACTTTTATTTTTCAAATTACATTGTGAAAAACTGTTAAAAGAAAGATTATTGTTTCAATAATTATTGTTTGTTATTACGATTTAATAAGATTTTTAAATTGCGTAGCAACATTTTTTGTTTAAATCTTATTTTTTTCAAATCTTCAACAATTCACCAAGATCTTGAAAAACTAAGCTTAGAATTTTACGTAATTCTGATTTTCTATTTCAAGACTTTAATTCAGATTTTTTGTTTCAAGGTCCAAATTCTTCAAATTTACAATTTTTTTTGTATCCCTTTTTGTTCTTATTTTTTGATTTTTTTTCGCTGTTAAACTGTGAAGATCTGGTATAGGAAAGATTTTTGTTTCAAGACCTTAATCTTTGTCATTAAGATTTAAGGAGATTTTTAAATTGTCGAGTAACATTTTTTGCTTCAAACTTTTTCTCATAATCTTATTTTTTCAAGGTTTCAACAATTCAGTAGTGTTTTACAAAAACTAAACTCTTTCAAGATCTTTTTCTTTTTTAAGTTCCTTTTCGTACTTTTTTTTCAAATTAAATTGTGAAAAACTGATAAAAGAAAGATTTTTGTTTCAAGATTTGTTATTACGATTTAATGAGATTTTTAAATTGTGTAGCAACATTTTTTGTTTAAAGTTTTTCTGAGGATCTTTTTTTTTTTTCAAACCTTCAACAATTCATTGTGTTTTAAAGCCGAGATCTTGAAAAACTAAGCTTAGGATTTCATGTAATTTTGAGTTTCTGTTTCAAGATTTTAATTCAGATTTTTTAGTTTCAAAATCCAAATTTACAGATTTTTTTGAGTTCCTTTTTGTATTCTTATTTTTTTGAATTTTTTTTGTTAAATTGTGAAGATCTGGCATAGGAAAGATTTTTGTTTCAAGATCTTAATCTTTGTCATTAAGATTTAAGGAGATTTTTAATCTTGCAACATTTTTTTCTTTCAAACTCTTTCTCATAATCTTATTTTTTTAAGTTTTCAACAATTCATTTTTAGTATTCTAAAATTTTTAAAGATCTTGAAAAACTAAGTCAAGGATTTTACGTAATTCTGATTTTCTGTTTCACGACCTTAAGATATTCAAGTTTTTCTTTTTTTTTTGAGTCTCTTTTCGTAATGTTATTTTTTAAGTTTTTTTTTCACTGTTAAATTTTGAAACACTGATTTAGGAAAGATTTTTGTTTCAAGACCTTAATCTTTATTATTAAGATTTAATGAGATTTTTGAATTCTATAGCAACATTTTTTGTTTTAAACTTTCTAAGAATCTTAATTTTCATGCCTTCAACAATTTACTGAAGTGTTTTAAAACCAAGATCTTGCAAAACTAAACTTAGAATTTTACGTAATTCTGATTTTTTGTTTCATGATTTTAATTTTGATTTTTTTGTTTCAAGATCTTACTTAATTTTCTTTTTTTGGAGTTCCTTTTCGTATTTTTATTTTTCGAACTGGAATAGGAAAGATTTTCATTTCAAGACCTTAATCTTTGTTGTCAAGATTTTATGAGATTTTTAAATTGTATTAATATTATTTTTTAAAACCTTCAACAATTCACTAAAGTGTGTGTGATTTTTCTGTTTCAAGATCTTAAAATTTTTTAAAAGTTTTTTTACTATTAAATTTTAAATAGCTGATATAGAAGAGATTTTTGTTTCTTTGTTATTAAAGATTTGTTAAGATTTTTAAATTAAGTTTTTCTGAGAATCTTATTTTTTCAACAATTCGCTAGTTTTGCTAAGAATTTTACGTAAATTTTAATTTTCTGTTTCAAGATCTTGATTCTTAATTTTTTTTCGAGTTTTTTTCGCAGTCTTGTTTTTCAGGTTTCCTTCCCTGTTAATTTTCAAAAACTTTTATAGGAAAGATTTCAAGACCATAATCTTTGTTATTTTTGCTTCATCGCGTTCTTTTTTGTTTCAAACTTTTTCTCAGAATCTTATTGTTTCAAGCTTTCAGAAATTCACACAGATCTTGAATTTCAAGTTCTCTTAGTTTCAAGAGCTCAATTTTCAATTTCCTTAAACTTACTCAAGATTTTTGCATTTTCCTAATTGTAGAAAAAATTTAGTATGTGCAACATGTTTTTTTTTCCAGCCGGCCCGCCACTCCAAATTGGAGAAAGCCGACATCCTGGAAATGACCGTCAAACACCTCCAAAACCTCCAACGCCAGCAGGCGGCGATGTCCGCCGCCACCGACCCCTCCGTTGTGAGCAAATTCAGGGCCGGCTTCAGCGAATGCGCCACTGAAGTGGGCCGCTTCCCCGGCTTGGACCCCGTGGTGAAGCGTCGTCTGTTGCAACACCTCGCCAGTTGCCTCAATCAGGCCCCCAAGGAGCCCCAGGTCCAGGTGATCGTCCCCGACGTGGCCCCCAACAACATCATCCTGGGGAACGGCGCCGGGGTGCAACTGGTGCCCACGCGACTGGCCAACGGGGACATAGCGCTGGTCCTGCCCTCGCAAGGGGCCTCGCCCTTGCCCCTGCTGGTGCCCATTCCGCAGAGGACGGCGTCCACGGCGTCGGCGTCCTCGGCGTCGAACTACTCGCCGAGTCACAGTCCCGAGCCGGAGACAGTGAGGCCGCTGTCGCTGGTGGTGAGGAGGTGCGAGGAGCCCTCGGAGGAGAAGCCCTGGAGGCCGTGGTAGAAAGTGATGTGATTCAGTGCTTTTTTGTGATAATTGAAATTGAGGATTGCCATGTTGTATATATTGTTTATTTTTTTATAAAAAATGGTTAAATTATTTATAGGTTAGGGAGTTAAGTACAAGTTTATTACTGCAAAGTGCCTTATCAACAGCAAGATCATTCATGTCTTCCAGTTGGTAATATTTACTATTTTATATTTATATTAAATTGTATTCTATTTTATTATTTGCTAATAAAACTGATATTTTCATAGAACGATGGCTTTTACTCCCCTTTAACCATTAAAAAACTTCTTTCTATATGTTAAAAAAAGTTTGTTACAATCTTTAAAGAATTGAATCTTAATTTTAAAAAATTTTTGAATTT